GCCCTGGTCAGGGTGTGTGCGGGAGGCAGCCAATCGATGTGTCTCTCTCAGATCGATGTTTCTCTCTTTCCTCCTTCCCTCCCTTCCACTTTCTCTAAAAAATCAATGGGAAAAAAATTTGGGGTGAAGATTAACAAAAAAATAAAATAAAAATCTGTATTATTGGTCCTATGGGGATGTTGCTGGCAGAAGCCCTGTAAACTAATGATTATATCCCAGGGCTGTGATCAGATTCAGGTTTGACTTTTTTTTTTAAAGCCCAGCATATATGAACCCAGGGCCTCTCATAAAGGAAAGTCAAACAGGCTCCAGGTACAGGTGTGGGCAGGGTTAAGCTGGTGAGGAGACAGCCACAGGGTTCCTGAGGAGCCAGGCTTCTGGACTGCCCACAGTCTGCGGTTACTCTTCCATTTTCACCCAGGGTTGGGTAGTAAACCCAGAGGTCCTCCAGGGTCAGCCCTGCTAGCTGCACAAGGGGCAGGGTCCTGGAGGCAGACCCAGGGAATAGAGGGGGGTTCTGAGGTGGTGGAGAGAGCAGCATTGGGAGCTCCCAGCCAGCCCCGTTTGCCTTGATGTGCCCCGTGCCAGGGCTTGCCTGGCCTGTGCGAGCTCTCATGGTCTGGACTCCCCACACACTGAGGACAGGTGCACGTACACTGGCTTTGGTAGCCAGCACCAGTTTAGCGAGTTCCTCCGCATCTTAGTTTGCTGAGGTCAGAGAGAGATGCTGGCCTGTAGCCAGTGGCCTGGGGAGTGGGTGGCTGCCCACAGCCTGGTCTGAAAGCAGTTGAGGCAGGCCTCAGCTGCCTTTGCTGAAAGTGTGGCATGTGTAGGGGTCTGGCTGGACTAAGGATGTTTCTCTGGGAGTGCCGGCCCCTCTGGCAGTCTTTGGAGTTTCTTGGCTTATAGAAGCGTCACCCTGGTTTCTGCCTTCCTTTTCACAAGGTCTTCTTCCTCTGTGTGAGCCTGTGTCCAAATTTCTCCCTTTTATAAGGACACCAGTCATATTGGATTAAGACCCATCCTATTGCCTTGGCTGGGGTGGCTCAGTTGGCTGGGCGTCATCCCATGCACCAGTGGGTTGATGGTTTGATTCCCAGTTAGGGCACATGCCTGGGTTGCCTGCGTTGCCTGCTTGACCCCTAATGGGTGACTTACAGAATGCAGCTTATTGATGTTTCTCACTCTCTCTAAAAAAAAAAAATCAATTAAAATATATTTTTTTTTTAAATACACTTTGAATGTGGCCATTCCTCACTGAGTATTCTGCTGCCTCTCCGGGGTGCTGTGGTGTTGCCTATGTCTCCACTTTCTCTGGAGGATGGTTTCCCAGGGGCTGTCCTCCTGGAAGTCCCGAGGCTTCTCCGGCTTGTCCAGAGGGAGCTCCGGTCAGCCTTTCCCAGGGTGCTTTGAGCCACACCTCAGCTGCAGGGCACACGCTGGTCTCTCAGGGAGGACTCTCCCTGGCCCTGATGCTGCCCCCAGCTTTGCCCTGCCACCCATCTCTGGGGAGTCATACAGAACTCTTCCGGGTCTCTTGTTTTGAGCTGTTGCCTTGACCTGTTTGGTTTGTGTGGACAGGAAATCCTCCTAAGGGATTCCAGAGAATACTGCCTGCCCATAGTGAATTTTGGCTCCCCACTGACCAGCCACGTGGCACCAGGCAGATTACTGCCCCTGTTTCAGTTTCTTCATCTGTGAAATGGGGACAGTAAGAGCACCTGTTTTGGGCTGTGAAACATTCATACAAAATAAGTGGTTGGAAAAGTGCCTGGCCACTGTAAATGCTCCACAGTGTGATGTTGTATAGTATATAGTCTGTGTCATGTCAGTATCACTGCTGTGTGGTGACTCTTCACCTTCAGACCCCAAGTATCCCCGTCACTGCTGTGAACACATGGCAGGTACCCATTAAGTTTTTGTAGGGTAATGAGTATGTGGGCACATTGAACAGACACAGGTGCTTGGTCACTGCCAGACTGATCGGAAACAAAAAGTCTCCCTTTGTCCATAATGCTCACAGTTCATTGGACTGGGTGGACAGAAAACAGACCTTGATTAGTCCTACTTATGAGGGAGAATTGCACACTGTGATTGGGGACAATGGTCTGAGAAGGCTTGTCAAGGGATGAGTGCCATCCAGGGGAGAGCTAGATTGGGAAATAGAAGATGGAGGCGTGACCTGGGATGACTGACGGCACTGGGTGTGGTGACGGTTTGGCCTTTGCTCAAGGCTCAGAGGGAGACCATTGGCAGGTTTTGAAGAAGTGGGTTGGGAGTGAGCCAAGAGATGGTTTCAACTTTGGGGATTAAAGGGGGGCCATAGTGGAAGCAGCTGGACAACCAGCTGGAGGTGATGGGTGGTCCAGGGAGATGAGGAGGGGGAGGCTGGCTGAGGAGCCAGGAAGAGTATGGACCTACCACGAAGCCAGAAGGTAAAGCTGTGGCTGAGCATGAGGTCAGTCAGGGAAGGCAAAGAGGAGAGGAAGGTCTGCCTCTGAGCCTTGGGGTGCTCCCGTATTTGGCAGAGCCATAGAATACCCTTTTCCAGTGTCCTTTTCTTTGTTAATCCTCACCCGAGGATATTTTTCTCATTAATTTTTAGCGAGGGAGGGGGGAGAGAGAGAGAAAAAAAACATTGATGTGAGAGAGACACACTGATTGGTTCTCTCCCTAGCATACCCTGACCAGGGCCAGCGCTCTATTCACTGCGCCACACCAGCCAGAGGGATCCACACATTGTGTCTGTTCATCTGTAGATTCTCCCTCTACCATTTTTTTTCTTTGTAGTTTGTTGAGGAAACTGGGTCATTTGTCCTGTAGGTTTGATACTGGCTTTTTGCTGCTTCAGTCCCTGTGGTGTTTATTTAGCACGACCAACCTGCTTTATGTATTCTGTGTCGCTATGAACTTGAGTCTGCAGTTGAGATCTGCCTGGGAAGGTGGCATCAATCTCGTCTGTTGGTCTCTGTGTGTGATGTGGGCAACAGATGACAGCAGCACCTGAATTACTGACTCAAGGGGTTATGGAACCGTGATGGGTCAGTCCTTATCCACACAGGAGCTGGAACATAACTGCAGCTCACCTCTCATCTTCTGTGTGGTTACGCTATGGAGAGGCAGGGCAGGTGCTTGAGTTTTCCTCCCTTTATTTGCCAGTTTCAAACCCTGCTCCTAGTCATGCTGTCCTGAAGGCTGGATATTGTTTTTTCCCCAGAACATGGATCTGGGTTTGTTCTTCCTGAGCCTAACCTTTGGACCTCTCCACCCCAGGATGCAACACCCTGCAGTGACAGCCGAGGCCCTTCTTTCCAGTTACCTGCTGTCACTCCTCTCCATCTTCCCCGTTCAGCTTGCCATGTGACTCTCAGGGCTCTCAGAGAGGATGCTGTCCCCACCTCCTAGACCCTTTTTGACTTCACCAACTCAGCCATTCTCCAAGTTTGTCACAGGGCCCAGGAGCTGTTCTTGGCTCCTCCCCTCCCTCCCAATGAGGGGTCAGGCCCTTCTCAAATTTCATTCTTTTGGCAAATATGGGGTACCTCCCCTGGGCCAGCACCTGGGGGTGGGGGGTGGGGTGGGAGTGTAAGACAGGAATCCCCAGAGCTCCTGCCTCCACCAGCTTCCCAGTTTAGTGGGGAGACATGCCCTTTGTGACAAGTGCATTCCTAAGGGTGGGCATGGGGTAGTGCTGACAGAGGGGCACCTGCCATGTTTAGGGGCATAACAGTGGCTTACTACAGAGCATCTTTCTCCTCCTTGGCAAGTCATTGGGAGACAACTGATGACCTTGGGCCAATGGCTCCGTGGTGTCAAGGCTGTCTACCTGAGACTCTCCTGGCTTTCTCTGCAGTCCTCCCGTGGTTGACGCCACATGGCCAGGCATTGCCTCACAAGGTTGGCAGGAAGAAAAGAGGTGCTGAGACTTTCCCCCTGCACATTACAGTATTTTTGATTTGGGAAGGAATCTACTCACAAATCCACTCCCGGTCTCTGGATTTGCCTGTTCTGGACATTTCATATAAATGGAATCACACTGTGTGGCCTTGTGTGTCTGGATTCTCTCACTGAGTATCATGTTTTCGTCTTTCATCCACATTGTAGCAAGTGTCAGAGCTTTACTCCTGTTTATGGCTGAGTAATATTCCATTGTCTGGATGGACCACTTTGTATTTATCCATTCATCCATCAGTGGACGAACACTGGGTTGTTTCCAGTTTGGGCTGTTGTGAATCATGCTGCTATGGACATAGATGTCAAGTTTTTGTGTGGATATAGGTTTTCATTTATCATAGGTATATATCTAGGAGAGATATATGCGTCATCTAATAGGTATTCTATTTTAACATTTTCCCAGATAGTTTTCCAAAGTGATGGCACCATTTTCCATCCTCACTAGCAATGCAGGGATCCAGTTTTTCCTCACCAACATTTATTTTCTGGTTGTTGTTTTTAACAATTGCCATCCTAGTGGTCTGATTTTGATTTGCAATTTCCTAATGATTAGTGACTTTGAACATCTTTTTAGGTGCTTTTGGCAATTTATATATCTTTGGAGAAATTTCCCTTCCGGGTAAGGGGTGGGGTAGTAGAATCATGGACCTCAGAGCCTGCGATCAGGTCTCAGCACTGCCACTTAGCAGCTGTATGTCTTTGAGCCCTGGTTTCTCCATTTGTTGGCCAGTACTGAGAGGGCTCAAGGGGCAGTGTGTGCATAGGGGCTATACAAGACATCAGCAAGAATATTTCCATTAACCCTCCAGAAGCATCATTCTTAATGATTTCTGCTTCTGTTGTGGAGACTGCTTTGCTGGGTCCTCTGCAAAGATAAGTTAGTTTGGGTAACTGGGTGGATGAGAAGTAGGCACACAGAGAGATGTGGAGGCCAAGCAAAGAAAAAAGAAAGGCAGGCTGGCACTGGGGAGCAGGCGTTCACCACTGTCCTGTAGCTGTGTCTCGTCCATCATCTGAAACAGACTTCCTTGTTTTCTTTCTTTAAGGAGGAGCCAAGGAAGGTTTGCTTCACCTATGACCTGTTCCTGAACCTGGAGGGCAACCCGCCTGTAAACCACCTGCGCTGTGAGAAGCTTACCTTCAACAACCCCACCGTTGAGTTCCGGTACAAGCTCCTGATGGCTGGCGGGGTGAGTGTGCCGGAGCAGGCCCTGCCCCTGCTCGAACGGATGCATCTTCTCTGTCATGGATCCACCTCTGCTCCCTGAACTGGGAACTTGGTGCTGGGGGCACCTTGGGCTCTCTCAGGCATGTCTCTTCAGCCTATGGCTGGGCACCTGATACTCAGAGGGGCAGGTTGCACAGGTAGCACCTGGCAGCACTGGATAGGACCCAGGTATCCCGAGTCTGTGCTGGGATGTTGTCAGCTGGGAATAACTAGTTGCTAGTTATTCCTGTAGCTTCCTGGTTGGCTGTGATTAATTAGCATCTTCTTCCATAAAGTAGGGAGAGGGTGGGGGAAGGAATGGGTGTGAGACCAGCCTGTCAGTGTGGCGAGGCGCTGGAGCCAGCTTTTAACCAGATTGGCAAGGCTGTGCTGGAGCCCCATCACCTGGGGAAATAGCAGTGGCTCTCTGCAGGGTCCTTGATGATGCATGCCACCTGGCAGTTCTGTCCTTGTGAGGCCAGATGAAGGTGTCAGCTCTCAGAACTTAGGTCTCAAGTGAGTCGTGTGGCCAGCGATCTTGGTATGATGGCAGAGTGCCAGGAGCATGTGTCAGCTCTTGGAGAATGGGGGTGGGGTGCTTGGTGCTGATGGATGATTGGCTGTGGAGGAGGCAAGACGCTTGGCTGCAGGCTGGACTGTGTGTGCCGAGGGAGGTGGCAGGCTGAGGACACAGGATATCCCAAAGCCACCTGTTAGTGAACATTTGCCTTGCTGCCAGCGGTGCCTGCAGTGGAGGATTCAGGTTCAGGTCATGAGAGAATGTGTGTATGTGTGTGTGTGCCAGGCCCACCTCCCCAGTGAATACAAGGAGTTTGGGCTGAATTTCTTTGGGCCTAGGGAGAAGTCCTTTTCTCTTCATTTAATTTAGTTGTTGTCTTTTATTTAAAAAAATGAAAGGAATTATTTATTTATTTCAGAAAATTTGAGTAATTTCTTCCATGTTCCTAACAAAAGATTAGTCTGGGATTTGGACCTAGCATGTGATTGCTAATGGAGGTTAGTAACAGAACAGGGGGCGTTGGAATCTATTGACACAGACACTTGTCTGGAAGTTTGCCTGGGAGTTCTAAAAGAACCAAGGAAGTGGGGAGGAGTTTCCAGGTTCAGCATCCTCTTCAGCTCTGCCTCTCTACCTTATTTTCCAAAGTATTTCCCTGAGGTGTAACACAAAGGTTCTAAAGTCACATCTCGGGGAGACAGACACTCAGTCAGTGAGCATTCCATGGGCCTCTGAGAGCTCCAGGACCAAGGGACCATCCCCCTGCATCAGGTTTTCTTTGCTCTGAAGAGATGAAGGCTCACTATGCATCATCTAACCCTATAAAACGGGAGGGGCAAGGGAGGAGGAGGAGGAGGCATGAAGCATTGAGGGAGAGAGGTTGGGATGGCAGGTCCGCCTTACAGTTGGGGAAGGGCCAGCCCAGGAGAGAGGAAGGGAGAGGAGGCCCTTGGGTGCTTGTGTGGTGGTCTCTGGGGGCACTTTTCATCCTTGCTGAGGGCTGCCCAGAGAGCTGGTTGTCTCGTTAGGAACTTTCTTTCTTGCCCTTTGGGGCTTGCTCTGGGCTGATAGCAGAACAGTGTTCTCGGGTCTTAGGAGCAGCCTGGGAGCTTTATGGGACAGCTGCTCCCGAGACCTGAGTTGTGGCCCTTGTGTCAGCCAGTCTGGAGCTCGGAGAGTTCCCAGTGGGGCTGGCATTTACCATCTGGCGGCAAATGACCACAGACCCATCTGTGTTGACATTTGCTGGAAGAACGGGAGGACCATGCGATCTGTGAGTTGGTGAAAACTGTCTCTGTATCGCCCTCCGGGGGCCGTGAGCTCTGTGGTTCCTCACGGGAGGGTCAGATGCTTCCTCAGTGGTGGCCGGAGCGGCCAGACGGCCAGAGGCCAGCCCCGCTTGCCCCCTCAGCATCGTATTTCATCCTTTGCCCCGTCAGCTGCGAGGACCTGTATTTCCATCGAGTGAGATGCGTCCTCATGAAGCCCCGTCCTGCAGGTGGAAGTAGATTCATTTATTCACTTAACTTTTTTTTTCTGAAAGATTGTTAAAGAAGGAGAGAAAGATGCAAGGCCTTCACTAAATTGTCTTGGCATAGCATCAGGATAGGATATTCCTGTGAAGGAGAGAAGAGAAATGAAAACAAAGGAAAAAGGCACCGTCTTCAAGGGAATGGACTCAGACCTCTGAGGGACCTGTCTGTTCTCCCGGGTTAGGCTGTCGCTTCTCTAACCTTGTGCATTGTCCTTGCTGGCCTTAGAGTGTGGTTATTTCCCAAGACCTGGTGATCCTCAGCCATGCTGGCCCGGGCCAGGCAGGTTCTGGGCGCTGGATTATAGTGAGACGGGCCCTGATGGGCAACTTGGCCTCGGGCCTCACTGCCTCAGAGTCGGGGTGGGGGCTGGAGCGGCACGAAAGGCTCCGCTGCCCTCCTTTCAACCCGGTGTCCCCGTGACCATGACTGGGCATGACATCAGCCTCCTCAGATGAAAGGTTGAGCTTGTCAAGAATCCTAGGTGCTCAAGGTTATTAAAGCTAAATCAATCCTTCCTTCCTTCCTTCCTTCCTCCCTTCCTCCCTCCCTCCCTCCCTCCCTCCCTCCCTCCCTCCCTCCCTCCCTCCCTCCTTCCCTCTTTCCCTCTTTCCCTTCCTTTCTTTCTGTTTGTCTTTCTTTCCATGATCTTTATTCTTTTCTTCTGTTTTGTTGCCATCTGGAAGGCTCCCTCTGAGTGGTAGTGTGAACTTCCAGTGTCTATATTTTGAGAACTTGCCCTCGGGTTTTCTCTCCCTTCAGCAGGTGCCACAGGAGCCTCACTGGACCTGGGCAGGTGTTACCAGGAGCACCTCTTGGCAGGAGCCCAGATCCTTCCTCCTAGTAGTTAACAAAGGCAGAGCTCGTGTCCCTCTCCTGCAGGCTCCAGTGAGGTGGCTTTGGCAGAGAACTGGGCCTGCCCCCGTGCAATTTCCTCTTGCCTTGGCTTCGCTACTCGCTCCCTGTTTCAGTCAACTTCATTCACCTGAGAGTGGAGGAGTGAGGCTCCCCCAGGAGATGCGGGACCCGGTGAAGTCATGACACACACGTCCCACAGAAGTTGCTTTCTCCGCCACATGCCTTCCCAGAGGGGTGTCTGCCTGGCTTCTCACCTTTATGCTTCTGGTCTTTCTTAACTGCAGCATGCAGGCCGCTTTGGCCACAGCTGCCTCCTTGTGCTTCTCACACAAATTGCCAGTCTTGGTGCCAGTCTTTTAGCATGGTGCCCTCCTCCCCGAGACTGTGCCAACTGCACCTGGACCCAGCCATCCTGGGACCCTGCTTCTCTTTGCTCTCCACCACGAGCCTGCTTCGCTCTGAGCACTCAGCAGCCAGACCTTTAGGAAATGCCGTGGACTCTTTGGGAAAGTGATGCTCAGGCTCTCCCTGGCTCCCTCCCCCAAAAGGAAGCTTGGACACCTCTAGCTGCACTCCCACAAGCCAACTTCCTCTTACCCATCGGATTTCCAGCTTGCCTCCTTGCTCATTGATAACATCTGTCTCTTCTTTATCACTAGGTGATGGTAATGCCCGAAGGAGCAGAAACGGTGTCCAGGCCCAGTCCTGACTACCCCATGTTACCCACAATTCCACTCTCTGCCTTCTCTGACCCCAAGAAGACCAAACCATCCCACGGCTCCAAGGTTAGTGAGGTGGAAGGCCCAGTCACATGGGAGCACTGGGGCCCAGCAGAGGGTCCTGGGCTCAGGGTGCTCCCTCTGCAGAGCTGGGCTCGGTCCCTTGGCATCTTTCTCTTGGAGCTCTCTGTGCTCCCTGTGGCTGCTCTCTGCCACTTAGTCAGAAGGGTCGGCCCCTCCGGGGGTGCATAGAACAGCCTGGTAATCATAGGCTCTTCACCCTGTTCCTCTTGAGGCCAGAGAGCCTGCCCTGTCCTCCCTCCTCCCTCAGAGTCAGTGGGCTTAGGACCACTCAGACAGAACCCCAAGCTAGTCTCACATGGTTGGGAGCCATGAACAGAGTGTCCACTGCAGCTATCACTGTCTACCTTCTCGGGTCTCCTGAGTGCAGCCAGGACACTTCGTCCATCAGGGCTGGTGCTTTCTCCGGGGCCTGTTCCAGGTTTGGCTTTTCTTTGGCAAACCTCCGCAGAGAAAGCTTACTTGCGGGAAGAGCCAGGTAGAATCATGTGGGTGAGCGAGCTGATTTTCCCTAAGAAGAAACGCTTTATCATCCTCTCTCAGCCCCATCAGGTGAGTGGCATTCTGTCTTCCTGAGACCACTCTCTGAATCGTCCCGGAGTGGCTGCCAGAGCCCTTCTGGTGGTGTCATGATGTACACATAAACTCCTGAGTGTTCGTCCCATTCCCCCGCAGCCGCCTACACAGCTCCGTGTCCCGGAGGCTAGGTTTCATCTGGCTCTCAGGGCAGCTGTTTGTCTTTCTGCCACCGACCCCACAAGTTTATCCACTTCTCAACTTTGCATTTTTCTCGTTTCATTCATCTGTTGGGTGTTGTGGGCCTGGGGCATCCCACATGGGACAGCTTGAACTCTCAGGCCAAATTACAGCCTTATTCATCAGCAGTGCTGGAGGAGAGCGACATTACCCAGGCAGAGTCTTTCTGGCACTTTCCCCAGGCCAGTGAGTCTCTGAAATCCTCATCCGACTTAAGCCCTTAAGTATGGAGCGCAGTCTGAAGGTCGTCCCCATGCCAACCTTCTGGCCCATCGTTCCTGAGCCTCATGGACATCAAATGGAAGAGAACTTCTTGCTAGAGATCTTGGCAGTTTCTCTTTCAGCCACTCAGTTGTCTGGAAGTCCATGCAACCTAGGAAGGGTAGAAATTGTCATTTCTTCTGTATGTGTCATTTGTCAACCAAAACCTCATGAAGAGATGCCCTGCAGGTAGTGAGGACACTCTGGTGGCCAGTGGAGTTGCATCTGTTGGAGTTGCTCATGTCCTCTCTCACTGGAATGTCTTTGTGACCACCCCAGGAGTTCCCAGGCCAGATGGGCATATCTGCTAGGCTCAGAGGCCTGTAGGCAGGGTCCCTGGTCTCCACCTCTCCGTGTCCCAGAAACTTTCTTCAGCCACATGGGTGGTATATTTTAGGGGGCTCTTTTGTGGGTTTCTCAGGCAGCACAAGGCAGATTCTTCTCTGCTGCAAGCCCCCTCTGCCTGTTGTCCTCCCTTCTGAGCCGTTAGCCTCACCTGCTCTTCTAGGAGGGTAGAACCTGTGTGCTAACCTCTTCCTCCAGATGAGGACCTCCCTTTGGGTACTGGCTGTACCACCCAGATTGGTTCTCTGCTGCCTAGACCCAAAGAGTCTGATTGCCAGGTCTCATGCTCCAGACAGAGGAGACTGAGAGGGAAGGGCTTGGTCATGCAAGGCCTTGCTTGTCAGGGTCCCCAACCTGGAGGCCGCTGGAGAGTCTGGCTTTTGGAGCCCTAGGCAGATTGGTCACTGGTGATCTGTCCCCATCTCATGTCTCCTCAGAGGATAGCATGGAAGGCAGGAGTTGGATGGAGCCTCCGGGCAGAGCGGTGGGGCTCCTGAAGGCTCATATTTTGAGGATGGTATTCCTTTTAGTCCCCACCTCACAGCATCCCTGGACTTTCATACCTGTAGCTTCTCCCTGTCTGACATCAGACAGTTGGCCTGGATGACCTTTCTCCAAAACTTGGTTCTTAGACATTTCGCTTCATTGATGGCTTTGAGAGCGTGACTGTGAACGATCACATTACTCTCGGAACTCCGTGTGGTTTCAGGGAGCCTGCTCTCCAGCACCTGTGCAGACCCCCAGGTAAAGAGCCGCTGCTAGGAAGGCCCTACTTGCTGGGCAGACTCTGGGCGGCAGTGGAGGCTTGTCCAACCCCAGGTCTGGGGGACCCGGTGGGAACTGTGCTGAGGCCTTTGACAGATGTTTATTAAGTGTGCTTTTGCCCTGCCTGTTCGGGCTGGGGCCGACTCCTATAGCCTGGGGTGTGTATAGATATTTCGAGAAGTGGCTGGTATCACATATGAGGTCTGCTTCTTGCCTCCCTCCTCAGGGGAGCCGATTGTTGGAGAGAGGAGTCCCCAGGGACTGACCCCATTCCACACACCAGCCCCAAGGGAGATGCCCCTTTAGATGGTCAGCTTGGGCTTGTGTTATGAGTACCCTTCCCATTGCCCTGGAGACAGAAGAGCCAGGTCCAGGGCACAGGGGCTGATGTTTCTCCAGGGAGGCAGCAGGAGCCTATGGCCACACAAGGCTGTCCCTGAACCTTTGACACTGATGTGGGTTATGGATTTGCAAGAAGACAGTGAACAAGTATTATCTGAGGTGGTCAAGACTGTGCCGCCTGTCCTTGTAGCTCTTTATTGTGAGAGTCTGTCAGGTGGGCTGGGAGAGCAGGAAGTAGAGGCCCTGCTGCTAGGCATTTAGCTGGCTCACCCATTCTCTTAGCACATAGGGTGAGCTGGTAAAGTGTGGCTGCCTCGGGTGGTGCATGCCACTCTCAGGGTCTGGCTGCTGTTGATTTCCTGGTGAGCTTTGATCTGGAGAGCCGCTGAGCCCAACTGTGCACCTGGCTGACTGAGTTGGGGGCAGAGCCCTTGGCAGCTGGGCACCTGTTAAGCAACCCAGGACATGTGGGATGTTGAAGGGGTTTGACAGGCAGGAAGCAAACAAGGTGTCAGGCAAGGCTTCTACCCAAAGGGTACGCTAGCTGTTGGTGGGGTGGCTGCAGCCGCCATGATTGAATGCTTGCTGTCAGCCAGGCCCCTGCACCATCGCTGGCGAGGTAGGTGGTCTTACCCTTGTTCAGAGGAAGTGTGGGCGCACAGGGTTGGTGTCCCCTGGCCCAGCTTTCCCAGCAGCCTGGAGCAGGGCTGCTTTCTGCCTCTGTCCCTAGCCAGAGTTCCATGACCTGGCTGATCCACCCTGAACCCTCTGAGTTTCCCAGGAACTGTACACATTATAGAAAAGCTGTCCAGGTGGCTTCAGTTCTGTCAGGAGTCGTTGGTCCTGTGCAGCGCCCTGAACCCAGCAGCCACTCAATGAGTGCTGACTGTGGATCAAAGAACCGTTATGCCTGCCAGGTCGCCCTGCTTTGGGGCGACCAGGCAGGAGGCTTAGTGGTAGGGACAGAAAGGGGCCTGTCTGCTCGCGCCCCCAGTGGGAGCTGCGAGGTGTCCGAGCTGGAGGGGGTCTGTGTATCTGTCTTTCTTTGCCTGACTCACTGTGTTGTTCTTGAATCCCTCAGGGAATGTCAGTTCAATTCAGAGGGGAGTCTTAGCCTGCAGTCGCCTGGGACCTGCTGACACTTCCTAGTAGTTTAAAGGGACAGCTCCATTTAAAAATCTCACCTGCTGCCTTACTTCTTTGCTTTTTGGAAGATTTTCTCTAGCTGAGTCTGAATCCAGGTGGATTATACTTTGTAAGGGTTAGGGGCAGTGGAGCAGGGCGGCCTGAGATGCCGTTTGACTGTGTCTTTCTCCCTTCCCACCCGACATTGCAGGATGCCAGCAGGGAGAGCGGCAAGGCCTGCAAGGCCCATAAGACAGCCAAGGAGCACCGGGAGCGGCCCCGCAAAGACTCGGAGAGCAAAGGCCCCTCCAAGGAGCCAGAGCGTGAGCAGGCCCGGAGTGCCAAGGATGCCTCACGGAAGCTGGTTGAGGGCCGGCCACCCAAGGAGGAGAAGGCCCCGCCACCCAAGGCTGCATTTAAGGAGCCTAAGATGGCCCTGAAGGAGACCAAACTGGAGAGCCTGTCCCCCAAGGGTGGTCCCCCACCACCACCACCATCTAAGTCTTCCAGCAAGCGGCCAGCTACCACTGACTCACCCAAGCCCAGTGCCAAAAAGCAGAAGAAGAGCAGCTCCAAGGGGTCCAGGAGCGCCCCTAGCACTTCGCCCCGCACCTCATCCTCCTTCTCGGACAAAAAGTCGGCCAAGGACAAGGGCAGCACCAAAGTGGAGAAGATCAAGGCTGAGAATGAGCCCCGGGAGATCAAAAAGCCCCCAGAGGTGGAGGAGTCCAACTCGGAGGACGAGGCCTCCTTCAAGACAGAGGTGAGGTGCCCCTTTGCCCCATCAATCCCTTATCCTCTTTTCTGGCTCTTTGAACCCCCTGTCCTTATCAGCTTTTCTGACTTTTTGCCATCGAAAGCCTTGTTAGCCCAAACGTTAGACGGGGAGATTGGGATCTCAGCCCCAGAGCTCCCACTTGCTCTTTGTAGCTTTGGGCATACCTGAGCACCTCGCTAAGCCTCAGTTTCCCCTTCTGTCAAGGATGATAAAGCCTGACTGTGAGGTCTCTGTGGAAATGGTGCTTAGGAAGGATGGTTCTGGTAGAACATGATGGTCTGGTACCTGGGTTCCGAGCTCTTTACCGTGGAAGCCCCTTGCATGGCCCAGGGTCTTGGTGGCCAGTTGGGGATCAGGGTGGGTGATTGTGTCTTACTGTTGTCCCTTCCTCAGCCACCACATAGTTGGTCTGGAAGCTTAATGCTGGCTCCATTCCCAGATGGCCGTTGGAGTCCGAGGGCCCACCACCCCTGCCACCCATCCGCTGCTGCTCATGCAGTGTAGACACAGGGATCTTGAATCAGCAAGACTTGTCTTCTAAGCATGGGCCAGTACCCCTCTCGCTGTGAGAGGCTCTGGGCTCCTGCAACAGTGTTTCCAGGTGGTTCTCTGAAGATGGCTGTGAGAGACCCCTTGAATCCCAGAGGAGCACATAGCCAGACTGCTGACTGGGTAGCCAGACCTCACTGGGGCCTTGGGGGGTGATATCATCTCTGAGACTGTTTGGCATCTGGTGGTCAGAGAACAGGTGCCTGAGTGATGGTCGAATGGATGAATGGGTGGATAAATGAGGAGTGACCCCCTTACCTGAGGCACCGCCCCCATGCCTGGTGACCTGTGCTGTTTCCAGATCTCCATTCACTCCCAGAGGCTGAAGTCTGCCTGCAGCATTGCTGCTGGGGCTCCACTGGGGCTTTGAAAGTGGCTCCGGAGATGAAGCTAGAGCTGTTTTGTGTCAGCAACACCATGTCATGAGCATTTGGCTTCCAGGGGTACTCCGTTGGAGGCAACAGCATTGGGGGTGACGATTTGGTCCATGGGTCACTGTACCCACTGGCTTAGGGACATGGGACCAATCATGCTGCACACCCAGCGCTCCTCACAGCCAGGAGACAATGAGACTAAGGTGGCCAGACTTGGAACATCTCTTATTTAGAAGCCTCCTGGCCATTCAGGGCCATTTCAGTATCCTGCTCAGCTGCTGCAGGTTCTTTGGGTACTCAACAGAGAGCTCTGACATTGCAGGGAACCTGAGTTGCCGCCTCCTGCTTAGCCGAGAAGGGGCTGAGGGACTCCTTGTCTGAGTCCCTGGGCCAAGCCCCCAGCTCCTCCAACTGCTTCTCTGTGGTCTCTTTGGCCCGCAGGGTCCTTTTCAGTTAGGGGCCAGGAGTGCTGAGAGCCCACTGGCCCCTCTGGCCCCTGCTGGACATGGCATGTGGCTGAGCAGCGGCACTCATCAGCAGCACTCAGGACTCCTTGTGGGCTTTCAGATGCACACCTCTAGGCCCTTTGGGCTGAAATTATTTCTGCCCCTTGGATTTGTGTGGAAAGAAAAGGGGCAGTGCATCTGAAGTTGGCGGACTTGCTTGCCACCCCTCACCCCACACAGGTGCTGGAGCCACCTCTCATGGCTCCTACTTCCCCATCCTGCAGCCCTGAGCCTACACACTGGGTGGCCGCCACCTGGGTCCAGCTCCTGCCTTGGCCCTGCTTTTGTGTCAGCCTTGCAGAACCTGCTGCTCATGTCCTCTGCCCAGGGGGTCTGTCCATATTCTCTGCCCCAGATGGCAGAGGCACAATGGGCATTGGCCACCATGTGGGGCCGCAGGGCAGCTTTTAAAGAAAAAATATTTTTTTAATGATTTCAGAGATAGAAACATCAATGATGAGAGATTCATTGATTGGCTGCCTCCTGCATGCCCCACACTAGGGATCGAGCCCACAACCCAGGCATGTGCCCTGACCAGGAATCAAACCGTGACCTCTTCATTCATAGGTTGATGCTTACCCCCTGAGCCACTCTGGCTGGGCTGCAAGGCAGCTTTTACAGATGGGGGAAACTGAGGTTTAAAGCCAGGGCGGCCTTGGCCAGTTGGTGACAAACCCAGGGTCAGAACCAGGACCCCTGAACCAGAATAAGAACTCAGGTCTGAATGCTAGAGGGCCACTTGTCCGCAGGCCCATGGCTGAGATTTGGGGGTGTCACACTGGTCTGTCACAGTGGGCAGTGGTTGATGGTAATCTAGGATTCTCCGATGTGAAGGCATGTGTGTGGGGGTGGGGGTGGGGGGGGTGCTGTCAGCAGATGCCTGGAGCAGGTGGTTTAGGCCGAGGTAAACTCTAAAGAAGAGGCCCCTTAACTCTTCAGGTGACAGTGTTCTGTCCCTAGGTGGCCTGATTATTCTCTGAGTCTATTGAGTGAGCAAAGACTTGTGCCTTCCTAGGTCCCCTCTGCAGCCTAGGAGCTGCCCTCAGCCCCCCAGACCATCAGGAGGGACTTTCCTGATCCCTTGGGGGTCCGGGACTCCTTTCCTAGGGTTTCCTCTCACATGACACATGGCAGGACTAAGCAAATGCTGTTAGGTGCCTCTGCCTGTTTCCTGGTCCCTTCTCTTGAAAAGGGGAGGTGCCCAGAGGTGGCTGGTCCCAGCGCTCAAGGTGTTCCGTTCCTCCAGATGGTCCTCCCCAAAGCAAGAGGGCTAGACAAGCCCCAGCCTGAGGGCAGCTTGCTGGGGGTGAGGCAGCCTCCTAGGTGTGTGGGGTGCTCTGGGCCAGGGTAGACTCTTGGAGCTGTGAACTTTGCCCTTCTGCCCTTCAGAGTCTGTGCCATAGACCCATGGCTTGCTCTGTTATGTGCACCTTCAGAACTGCCTGTTGGCAGAAACTAAGGCCCCTGTTCTAGCTTAGTGCTCCATGCAGCAAGGCCAGAGGCCCCTTCCCTGAAGGGATCTGAAGTGACCAGTTCCTTTACACCCAGGGAGGTGCAACCCCCAGTCATCTTACCTCATGTGTCCTAGGGCTTAGGGTGGAAGGTTGCAGGAAGAAGTGGGAGCCGAAACCAGTTTGGCTCAGTGGATAGAGCGTCGGCCTGCGGACTGAGGTCCCAGGTTCGATTCCGGTCAAGGGCATGTACCTGGGTTGCGGGCATATCCCCAGTGGGAGATGTGCAGGAGGCAGCTGATCGGTGATTCTCTCTCATCGATGTTTCTAGCTCTCTGTCTCTCTCCCTTCCGCTCTGTAAAAAAATCAATAAAATATATTAAAAAAAAAAAAAAAAAGAAGAAGTGGGGGATGTGACCTGGTTGAGTCCACCCTGTCCCCTACTGCTTGTCAGGTGGCACATTCATCATTACCTCAGGGCACGTGGTGGGTGATGGCAGCACGGGGCAGGGAGACAAGCAGACAGCTTTTTATCATCACTCAGCGTTGGGACTGGCTGTGGGGAAACAAGGGGCAGAATGAGAAGCTGGGTCTCTGCACTCACTGTTCCTGTTCCAGATCTTTTCTCTGTTCCCTGTGGCGCCACAGCGCCCATCGCCAGCTCTTGCCCTCATAGGAGGAAGGCAGGGCCCACAAACAGATGTGCTCCCCAACACCCAGCCCCCTTTCATGGACAGCTTGGTTCCCTGTCCTCCTGCTGAGGTGCATGGGAAAACCAGTGACTTGTTGAGAGCTTCTCCTGGAACTACTAGAAATTTAAAGATCCTCAGTGAGAAAAGATGGGCCATTGCATTTGAAATGCAAACTGGTGGTGTCCTGGGGCTGGGTGCCTACGGACTCAGAAAGCCATGTTCTCAGGAGTGTGTGCAGGGGTCCTCCCGTGTGCCGTGAGCCTGGCACCTTTGTCACCTTTTGAGTGCCTATCTGGGGAAAGACTCAGCTGGGTGTCATTGCTGCGAGGGCGCATTTCTTGTCCACTCCTTTTCCTTGGACTGAAAGGTTATTCTTGTCTTCTCTCCCCACTGTCCCACCCCACCCCCGTTTTGGGGTGAAGTCCGCCCAGTCGAGCCCATCCAACTCCAGCTCCAGCTCTGACTCCAGTTCAGATTCGGATTTTGAGCCATCTCAGAACCACAGTCAAGGTGGGTGATGACAAAGGAAAGACAGGATGTTTCTGTGGCTTACTACTGTGGGGAGAGCCTCTGACTCCACCTGGCTGGTGGGGTTCTAGGTTTGTTATCCAATCACAGGGACTTACAAGCAGTTTCACGTAACTTCTATGGGGACTCACTCCATGCCTGAGCTTCAGCTGCTGCCACTGCCAGAAAAACCCATTGGTGCCTTACCCCCAGGGAGGGGGTGATGAGGAGGGCCTAGAGTGAAGGGGAAGGTGGAGACGATGGGGGAGGCTGGGGTGAGGGAAGTGAGGGATGGAGGGCAGGGCAAGAGCTGTGGGCCTGAGCTGAACACCCTGGGCGCATTTCTTCAATATACTACTGCTTACCCAGACTGGGCTCCCAGATATCCACATTCGTAGGTTGTAGAACTTCAGGAAGTGTATAAAAAGAAAAGCAGCAGAAACAGTTCACCTGACTGCTAGCCAGGTGTGGGATATGTCACTCCTGGTGACCTACTCCTGAGCCTCAGGACACACTGTCTGTATGATGAGGGCTTGGCGATGTGTTGATGAGGTGCTGGTGCCTGCGGGCCAGTGGAGAGCAGCCCCTTTCTGATTTGGGCCCTATCCATAGCCAGACTCCCTCCTCGCCAGCTCTCCCAGAGGGAGGCAGGCATCAGTTCCTTTGCCAGCCCTCCCACCCTGTCCCATTAGAGGACGGCTCCTGGATCAGGGCAGGAATGCTCTGCTCCTGCAGTGGGTCTGGCTGGCACTCAGCAGTCTGCATTTCTGCCCTTTCCCTGCAGGACCCCTGCGAATGGAGAGGCTTTTGTAGGGGGAGAGGGCATAAAACCCACTTGGCTGTCCCAGATCAGGGAGGGCCTTCCTCAGGTGCCTGGACACTCCCAGCCTGCAGGACGCAGGTGTGAGAGGGGGCATGAAATCCGCCAGCCCTGCCGACCCTGCTACTCACCCGCAAATCGGAAGCAATTCTTCTGGTGGATTGGGCCGGCAGTCTCCTCCCCACACAGCCTGGAGTCCTTTTTCTTGGGTTGCAGAAAGCTGGAGGAGGAGAGTGTATTGGGAGAGAGGCGGGTATTTCTGACCTGGAATGTAGATATGCAGTCCCTGAGGGGGCCTGGGGGATGGGTGCAGGAAGTGAACACTCTCTCCAACCGTTCTTATCTATGGGGAAGGGAGGGGGAATCTGCTGAAGTGGGATCATGTGACCAAGGTAATTGAGGGCTTTGTGTCCCTCTGTTGCCTTGGTAACAGGAATATAAACCAAAGATGCCTCTGTAGGGGACTGGAACGGGTGCTCTGGAGAAAGGGGAGGACGGTGGGCTGGGAACAGCGGAGGGGGTTGTTGAGGCACTGGGCAGGCCTGAGTAGGGGCACAGGCTGGTGAGGCATCCTGTGGCCCCAGGCTCTGGCTGCCTTGCCCTCCCGGCAAGGCTGGCTGGTCCCGACTCCAGGCAGAGGCTCTGATCTCAGCACTGGGAGCAGAAGAAGGGTGCTCTTTGGCTTTGGCAATGGAAGGGCCTTGTGATTCTGCCTCAGGCCAGGGTCCAGAGGCCTGCGAGCAGGGCCAGGAAGGTAGGGGTATGGGGAAGCCAGAGAGTCCTTTAGGTAGAGGGTAGCCTTGGGGACAGTCTTTGGAGATGAGTGGTAGGCCCCACATGGCCAGAGGGGCTTCTACGTGGATTTGTGTGGGTGCTTTTTTGGGGATTGTGGTATCAATAAGCTCATGTGGCCCTGGAAGTGAGGGGACCCTGCAGGGACCCAGGCAGAGTCCTAAACCCCTCCTTCTTTATCTCTCCTCCCTTCCTTGCCACCCTCCCCAGGACCCCTGCGCTCCATGGTGGAGGACCTGCAATCTGAGGAGTCCGACGAAGATGACTCTTCATCAGGCGAGGAGGCTGCCGGCAAGACAAATGCAGGGAGGGATTCCAGGTGCCCGGGCCAGTGGGGGTTGGGGGGTAGGTGGGGGACCCTGGCAGCTCTACTGGGCTTGTGGGGCCTTGAGGAGGTGAGGCTAGGACAGAAGTATTCCTGGGGCGCAAGCAGAGGAAGCATCAGAGCCTGCTGGACAGCGCTCTGCCTGGGGCTCACACAGTCTCTCCTGTTATCTGAAGTGGAGGGGTCTTCCTTCCTCCTGTCATAGAAAGGTGTGGGCTACCTGGCAGGAAGGGGTGGGATGTTGAGGGGGAGAAGTTCAGGCACCATTTGAGAAGCGGGGAAAGGCTGTGCCCAGTAGCCCTAGGGCCAGCCCTGCTCTGAAGCAGGAGTTGGGGTTGGGGTGGGGGGTGGGCTGGTTCCTCTCTTCTCGGGTCTTGAGATCTTTTCCCCTTCCCTACGTGTGTGGCATAGGTGAGGACAGACTCTGGGAAATGTCCTGTGGACACCCCCAGACCCTTAGAGCGCGCCCTTTGAGGATGGCTATGCATTCTCAGCCTCTTGCTGAGAGCAAATGCCAACCTGATTCCAGGCCCAAGGAAGGGGCAGACACAGGGGTCAAGGAGCCCAGTCGGGCCCAGATTCAGCACCTCCTCCAGGACTCAGCAACTCATTAAGCCAGGCCAGTCACCCGGTCTACACCCACCAACACAGGGACGCCTAACAGGTGATTGCAGGCAGTCTGTGTCAGTCTAGCTGATTAAGCCCATCATCCTGAGAGTGTGGCTGTGGAGGCTTTGTGGCGACTTAGCTGGGGAGGGGCCCAAGGAGACTGCCTGTCTCCCAGGACAGGATTAACGGCCACAGCTCCTGCCTCTTTGGTGCTGACAGCATTCGGTGTGGACTCCTGCTGGACACCAGGTGCAGTGGTGCAGGGACCAACTGTGTGGAGGCACGTTGAGTGTCCTTTTGCAGGACAGACATGGAAAGCCTGGGTGAGGCTTCCCTGGATGCCGAGGGAGCCGGACATCTGTTTTCAGGGAAGGGGCCACACAGACCTTGCATTGGCGCTGCAGCTGGTTGGGAGGAGCTAGCCAAGTCCCATTCCATCCTGTTCTGCTCTCTGGGGAGGCCCACAGTCTGCATGGCCTCCAGCTGCCCCTGGTGGACCTGGGAAGAGGCGGACGCGAGGGGGTGTGCAGAGCAGTGGGGCCAAGCCTGGGTCTGGCTGATGTGGTAGTGTCACCTGGGCATCAAGGAGTCACCACCTGCCTTCCCCACTGGAGTGACTCAACTGGGAAGTGGGGGAGAGAGAGGTCTGGGTCCCAGGAGAGCAGAGGCCCCGAGGCCTGCTGCTGACAGTGGAAGAAGTGTACCCGAGTAAATGGACAGCCTTGACCTTGGGAGGAATAGGACAGGAGCCCCTGAAGCCCAGGCTCCGCGCTGCGTCCCTGGCACTGCTTTCACAGTGAGGTGTCTTAGGCAGAAGGGGGCAGGCAGGCTTCCGGTGCTGCAGATGTGGAGGAGCAGTTGTCGGGCTCCTCTGTGCTGGATCAAGCCCACAATGTCTGTGAGGGACTGGGATCCCAGTGGGGGCCTCTCCCCAGGGAGGCCCCCAGAGGAGCAGGCCATTCCCAGCTAGGGGGCGGGGCTGGAGAGGAATTTGCTACCTCTACAGCCCCTCACTGTGCTGTGAGAAATTCTGGAAAAAGCTGCAAGGACTGAACCAACCTGTGCTATCTAGACTGAGACCATGAGAGAGCATTATGACTCTAAAGAGAGGCTTTCCAGTTCCAGCCAGCCTGGGCGTTTGCACTTTTATTAACCACACCCTTGCCTCCTAAGATAGTGGTGACCATGTGTCGCTGTGCGTCCGCTCCTCCCCTGTGCACTCCTCCCGGGACCTCACTTTACAGGTGCGGAAATGGAGGCGGAGGTTGAGGACTCGCCCAGAGCCCTGCCTCCCAGGAGGTTTGAGGTTGAGCCACCTCCAGACACATTGTGTTCAGGGCTCCAAGGGCTCCACCCAGATGGGAACACCTCGATGTCACTGAGGAAGGCTGGCATCCAAAGTGCTCAGGCTAAGGTGGAAACTGTGTTCCCTTCAGTGCATGTGCAGGCTGCCCCCTGGCCGCAGGAGTAGCAGGAGGACATGTGAAGGAGCAGAACCCAGCACCATGCCCCATCCTTCCAGCTGCAGGGTGTCCCATCTGGTGTGCTGGCCCTGGGAGACCTGCATCATGGGGACGTGTCTCTTAGCGTGCACACCTGTGGCTCAGGGTTTTTTGCCCTTTGAAGGTGGCTTCGGCACATTCTTTTTTAAGTCTGTAATGGCTGCCTAGAGACAAGTGAGGTTTAGGGGCAGCCCTCTTTGCCCACAGGGAGGGGTGTCCCATTGTCAGGTGAGTCTGAGTCAGGCATAGGTCTTGCAGCAGCAGGGTGGCGGAGGCCTGACAGAGCATCGTGTTCCTTGTTCAGGTTGAGCTTCAGTGATAGCGACAGTGACAACAGTGCTGACTCCTGCCTCCCCAGCCGAGAGCCCCCTGCCCCCAAGAAGCCACCCCCACCCAACAGCAAGGTGAGTCCAGAGGGCATTGGTGGGCAGGTTGCCATCATGTTCTAGAGGCAGGGCTGAGGGCCGGGCCATTATTGGTCCTGGGCCTGGGGTTGTCCACGGGTCCCAGGCAGAGAGAGGCTCTGCTCCCCATGATGGGCTTCCCTTAGAGTTGGAGGCCAGAGGAAGGAGGGCAGGTGGGCCTGGGGAGGTGGGAGAGCCTTTGGAGGCTGCGGAAGAGGCATGGGGAAGAGCTGAGAGCACAGACCTGGGTTTGTCCTGCAGGCGTCAGGCCGGAGGAGCCCCGAATCCTGCAGCAAGTCTGAGAAGATCCTCAAGAGGGGCACCTATGACAAGGTGGAGGGCTCGGGTGGGGTGGGGGTTACCCCGGGGCTCCACAACTGGATGGGTCAGCCCAGGTGTGCTGAGGTGCTGGCCTCAGCAGCATCAGACCAACTTCTGTCCTGGGTCCCCAGCTGTGATGGGCTTCCTCAGGGCTGGGCAGTTGGAAGGGCTGAGACCACCTGCTGAGTGCCTGTCTGCCACCCCCAGGCCTACACAGATGAACTGGTGGAGCTGCACCGGAGGCTGATGGCCCTGCGGGAGCGCAACGTGCTGCAGCAGGTACTAGGACGGAGCCCGCCCTGCCCTCGGTTCTGCTGAGGACACAGGTTATCACACATGAGTCCCTGGGACAGGGGGTGCCTGTAAGGCCTGCAGGCTGCTAGAACCCCTGGCTGCATCCCCAAGGAGCCTCCTTCTTCTCCTCCTCCTCTTCCTCCTCTTCCTTGGGGGTCTGCTGGAGGGTGGGGGTCATCCCAGCCCAACCTCCTATCTCCTGAAGCCACCTTGCCATCTCCTTCCAGATTGTGAACCTCATCGAGGAGACTGGCCACTTCAATGTCACCAACACCACCTTTGACTTTGACCTCTTCTCCCTGGATGAGACCACCGTGCGTAAGCTGCAGAGCTACCTGGAGGCCGTGGCCACATGACCCTGGGCCAGATGCCGGGCCCCTATCATCGGGGTCCCGGGAGGCCACATCCGGACCCCGCCTGCCTTTCTCTCTCTCGACTCACTCGCCCGCAGCACTGCCTTAGTGACCGCCCTGTCCTCGGCCCTCATGGCCAGCTGCACTTTCCTCGTTGGCTCCCGGCCTGCCCTCCCCACCAGCTCACCGGGAGCCCTGGGGCCGAGGGGGCCCGGCGGGCGCTGCTGCTGCTCCCTGATATTCAGGGGCCATCACCTGGGTTCCCCTTGTGTTGAAGGCAGCACTGGGCCTCATTCCTGTATAGGGGAAGAAATGTGCCCGGCGGTGGGAGCCCTGCTCCATGGTGGGATGTGGGGCCTGGGTGTCACTGGCCAGGCCTCTCCAAACGGTTCAGACACACCGCACCCCAGGACCTCAGAGGATCCAGCTGCTCCAGGCCAGGCCTTGGCTCGTCCTCCATGTGAGCCGGATGCAGCCCCGCTCGTGGCTCTCACTGTGCTGGGGCTCCATGCTGTATATTGTCTCTCTGTTATGTATGTATGTGTGCACTGTAGGTACCAGAGCGGTTTCCGGGTGTGCATTTCTGTGGCAGCAGTGCACGTGGGGGGTGGGGGTAAGGTGGGACTTTAGGTTAAGATGTCTCCACTGGTCTTGTCATTGGACTAGAGGCCGAGCCGGAGTGCCCACTGGCTTTCTCCAAGCGCAGGGAGGATCCCCCTCAGTGGTACCAGGGCGCCTCGTCCTCCTCCTGGGACTCAAAAGGCACAGTCCGGGCCTGTGAACACTACGATGGAGCAGTAGGTCCTCAGGCGCCTAGTCAGACTGACAGCCGTCTCCAGGAGCAGACCTCCCAGCTCCAGCAGCTGCAGGCCACCACTTGTAATGGTGCCCCGGGCCTCGGCCTCTCCTTTCTTCCATAGGATCCTCTTCCTCCTCTCTGTTATCGAGTCTTCAAACTTTGAAAAAAATGAGCTTTTGCCAAATAAGACGATAGTTTGTGGAGTATTTTCAAGGAGCGTGAGGACTCAGAGCCAGCTCCTCTTGCCTGGGCCCCGCCGGTGGCAGGCCCTCCCGGGCACTCCTGTCTCTCTCCGTTTGGGCTTAGCCCTCCGACACCTGCCGTTCACACTCGTCCAGAGTCCCGAGACTCAATTCCTCGAAGGCCTGAGATTCTCCAAGGTCCAGGCCGGTTCCTCCTCCCTCTGGCCCACCTTCCAGGGTCAGAATGCCCTTATGGAGTCAGCCCACCTTGGGTGGGGCTCCTGATAGCCTGTTTGCTCAGCCTCTATTCTCCCAGACCTTGACTCAAGGCTCCTCCAGTTCCCCCCAACTTTTGCCCTAAACAACATGTGGGGAAAAGGACTGGGGGTCCAGAGATGGGCTCACCTCTCTCCAGCCCACTGTCAGCCCCTCTCCCCGGTTCCCGAGTTCTGATGTGGGTGACCCTTCCCTGTGACCCCTGATTCTCATGTCTGTGCTCCGATTCCGTCTGTCAGGCAGACCTTGAACACTCCCGGGTGATCCCCACCTCCAAGGCTTCCATGAATTCCAGCCTTCCTGGTGAGGTCCCCAGAACGCTCGGGGGAAGCCCGAGAACTTTACAGGAAACCATCGTGACTCCTCGCTGTTCACTCAGATTCTCTCCTGACCCCACTGCCTTGAGGCATTGAGAAGAGGTCAGGCCTGCGTGGCAGGCCCCGTGCTGTCACCATCCCCTTCTCCTGCCAGGCCAGCAATACTCCAACGTGGGCGCCATTCTTCTCTGGAAACTCCAAGACATTGGACGGAGGAACTGGCTGACGTGGGCTGCTCGAAAGGCAGCAGCTCCCTGGCCCTCTGTGCAGAGGCTGCCAGGGGTCACAGGCAGGAGCCTCAGCTCAAGGGCACTAGTCTTTCTGAGGATCTGCTGGAAAGGGCTGCAGGCTTCACACGGCTGCCAAGGCCGCCCTCTGCTTTGGAGCCCGGCTCTCTGGCGCACCCTCAGTGTCAGCAGCATCTGGCCCTTTCTGCTGTTTCCAGGGCCTTCGGAAGCACCGACCCATTTCTCAGTTACCTCCTCTGGCCAGAAGGCCTCCAGTGCTGTCCTCTGGAGCTGCTCTGGGCCCAGTGCTGGCCCGTGACCACCTGATGGACATGCCAGGTAGCCAGGGCTCTGACCATAGCATTCCCAGCTGCTCCCCTACTTACCCCCCAGCTGCCTGGCAGCTGGGCCCACAAGGGCTCTGGGGACGCTTCCATAGGAAGGGGCAGGCACTTTGTGATTGCCGCGTGTTTAGTGTTAAGCCCCCTGCCCCCAGTGCAAATCTGTGTTTTGCTGTCTCCTGAACAAAATGTAAACCAACACCTGAAAGCAAAAGGTATCGAATACCTTTCTTACCCGTCAGGGTTTTTACCAAGATTGTGTCTCACTAGGAACTAGGACACTTATCAGCCTGAGACCAACTCCTGGATAAAAGGAATAAGGAGAATTGTGTTTGTAATAAGTTACAGGATTGTTTCTGTCCTGGATTTTAAACTTTTTTGTTAAATTGTGAAATTATGGAGGAATTTTATAGGAAAAACAAAGTGAAATAAAGTCAGATGGGAAAGCAGACCTATGAGTCTGTTTGGTTCCTCCTGTTTTGGAGTTGGTGGGTGGGGGAGACACCAAATACCGTGGGGCCGTTTGTCCCCTCTTCTTGTTCTAGAGCCAGGAAGAGCTGAGAGGGTTGGGGCCAAGCCTGGGAGGCAGCAGGAGGGAGCAGGCGAGGATGAGCAGGTTGGCCTCCTGGAGGACTAGAGATAGTGCCACCAGAAATCCAGGAGGGACAAGATGGCAGAGAACTTGGTCTTGGGTCTTGCTGTTGATGTTGTGTTCTTTCCTTGGATGCTGGCAGCAAGGTTTGGGTTTAAAAAAGCAAGCCTGACTCCAGAAGATGGATGGATGGATGGGAATATGGAAGGGTGGGTGGATGGCTAGGTGGATGATAGAAAGCTAGACAGAGGGGAAATGTGGGCAAAGACACCCTTTGCTGGATGCTGGGCTGCCACCTGCTAGTGTGTGTATGGTGTGTTTTGCCCGGCTCGGTCCCGTTGGGGCATGCAGGAGGCCGCCATGGTCACTGGGTCTCATCGTAAATGATGTCAGACTGCTAGTGGATGGGCTCGAGCTGCTGGCAGAAGTGATGGCGCCACTAGTCATTTGTCCCGAGGCTCTCCTGTGTCTGCGTTGATCTGGCATGTTGTTTAGGGATGAGGGGTCAGGTAGCTCCTGGCCCACCCACCAGCAACCTCAAGCCCAGCCCCCTGGACCAGGAGTTCACCCTCATCAATCATGTCACTCTCACCTTGCCGCTGGGGGCCCAGGAGCCCCATCTCCAGGGTTCAGAGGAGAAAACAAGGCTCATCTGTGAGAGACTAGAGGCCAGGTGGCCAGACTCGGGCCCATCCGCCGGCCCCTGCCACAGGCTTGCCCCCACCGCCGGCAGCTGCACCGAGTGGCCAGTTGCCTCTCTTCTCCCAGCCTCCATTTCCCCGGGACAACAGCCCCCATCTCAGATTGCCATGAGGCTCACAGACAGCCCTGAGGTGCCTTCCGCATGAGCAGGGCACACGGGGACGGCATCCTGGCCCACCCGCACGACGTGGTGAACACGGGTTACTTCTTCACCCGCTGCTCAGCGGGGTTCGGATTGTGCCTGGAAATCTTCGTCACCCTGGCTCTTGAGGCGCGGCGCAGAGGGTACTGTCCCAGGGCAGCACCCTTTGCAGGGGCTCCCGAAGCCCCTCGCAGCCCAGAGATACCAGAAATGAGCCACAGCAGACAAAGGCACCCCCTCCTCCAAGCTGGACGTCAGCCCTGCCTCTTCCTCGTGGTGAGCACAACCGGGACCACTGTCCACGCAGCCCTGCCAGGTCGGCCAGAGGCAGAGGCGCTCCGGCCCTGTCCTCAGCCCTGACATTGCCCAGACAGCGAGGAGTTTGTCAGTGTTCAGGAAGCCGGCCTCCGTGTGCATCCAGCCCTGGAGATCAGCCTTCTCCTGGGTGCCCACGAAGATGTTCCAGCTCCAAGTGTGGGTGCCAGGGAGAGATACCCACAGCTGGGGGCAGTGGGCAAGGAGGGGCCCGGCCAGATGCAGAGCCCTCTTCTCCCATCCACACAACTGCAGATCCTAGGCCTTCTTAGTCTATTGGCTCCTAGAGTCCCTCCGATCCAAAGAAGGGGGCAGACAGGAAAGGAAACAGGTCATGGACTCCCAGGGACAGGGAGCCTGGCCAACCCCAACTCAGAGCCAGGCTCTCGGGGTACATGGATGCACCACACCCAGCCCCTGGCCACCCGGAGATCACAGATGAGCACATGGGGACAAGGCAAGCCATGGATACACTTGACACCTTTGGGGCAGAACTGGTGGTTGAAGGCGACTGGGCAGAGTAGTGAGAACAGTTAATTCAACACAGGTGAGAACGAGGGGTCTACCACTCTGCTTATCTCCATGGAACGGGAGCTTCCTAGCAAGGTACCTGGACAGCAATCTGCACCTGGCTTCCCCCCCTCCCCGAGGGTGGAGACTCCGGATAGGGCCTCAGAGCTGGTCCCGCCAACACCCAGGATACACCCCCTGCATGGACTGAATTGTGTCTCGCCAAACTCCCATGTGAAGCCCTAATCCCCAGTGAGATGGCATTTGGAGGTGATTCGGTTTAGATGAAATTCTGAGGATGGGGTCCTTACAATGGGCTAGGTGCCCTTTAAGGAGACACAGAGAGTGGGACGACACAGGGAGGACGCGTGGCTGCTCCCCATCAGGAAGAGGGCCCCATGGGGAACTGGACAGGCGGCAGGCACCTTGATCCCAGACCTCCAGCCCCCAGAACTGTGAGACACACACTTCTGTGGCTTACGCCCCCCCAGTCTGGTATTTTGTGTCCAGCCCACGCTAAGAACTACTTCTGAGGGCAGGGACCAGGCTGGTCTTGCTGCCCAGCCCCTAGCACAGCACAAGCTCCACATTCCCACTCAGATGCGCCCTGAAGGAATGAACAAATGGCCTAAGGCAGCCGTGGGCAAACTACGGCCCGGATCCGGCCCATTTGAAATGAATAAAACGAAAAAAAAAAAAAGACCGTACCCTTTTATGTAATGATGTTTACTTTGAATTTATATTAGTTCACACAAACACTCCATCCATGCTTTTGTTCCGGCCCTCCGGTCCAGTTTAAGAACCCATTGTGGCCCTCGAGTCAAAAAGTTTGCTCACCCCTGGCCTAAGGGATGGATGGGACACTGAGTGGCTTCTTATGTGGATGGTTTCCCACTTGCTAACCCCACTGGCCTGGAGCTGTGTGGTCTTGTGTGGACCGATCTGGGAGCAGAGAGCGCTGTTTGGCTGCTTAGCCCCTAGGCCCCACGCAGGAGGGATGTCTGACCTGGGTTCTCGGCTGTAACCCCAGCACCCGGGACCTGCCAGCGGGCGGTGACCACTCAGCACGCATCCCACGTAGAACGGGCTCCCTACAGAGCATCGCTGGTCTCAGGATGGAGACTGAGTGTCAGCACCCGCCAGGCACACTGGCCAGGTCACTGCTTCCTGCAGCCTGCCTGCCCCTTTCCCTCTGCCCGGCTGCATGGGGGTGGGGGTGGGGGGTTAAGGAGACCCCAAGGTGAGGAAGTGCTTTGTGATTGGCTCCTTGTCCTGTCTCTGCTGAAAGGTGCAATCTCCCCAAAGCTAACATGGCTCTAAGGGTGGTGACAGACGCTCCTTGACCAAACGCTGCTCAGGCTCCTCTGAGCTGCCTTCACTGGGGCTTCACTGGGCTAGAAGAACTGCAGGCTGTCAGCACAAACTACTTTATCCCCAGCCTGCGCGCGCATGTGTACACACACACACACACACACACACACACACACACACACACACGAGGCCTGAGCCAACATCAGCACAAGGCCACATTTCCAGGCTGATCCCACCCCTTAAGTTCCTGCCTGAGAAAGCTCAGTGCTGCCAGGAGAGTTTAGTATTTGTTCCAACCAAACAAAACCTGGGCTGGCCCGATGGGCCCCAGACCCCTCCTAGAGCAGCTGCTTTACAGTTTGCAGTGATAAGCACTTCCTCTGCCCTTTGAGATGCAAAGCTCAACCCTACCCCTACCCCCACCCCAGAACTGCCTCCTCAGGGCCTGAGAGGGCGGCTGTGGGTGCTGAGCTTCCCTCCTCCCAGGTCACGACAGGGCTCCTTGCTCTAACCGACACCACGGTCACAAACACCAGATGAGCGCTAGTTAATGAACCCAGAGGGCCTGGTTACCTTGACAAGCCACCCCCCTTCCGGTTTTTGTGAATTTCCACTTTCTCAACTGCTCAAATCCCACCCACTCTTCCCACTCCCTCATCCTCCCTGGGCAGTGCCCAGTCACCTCTGCCCAATGGGAAGTAAAGTTCAGCTCACTCCGGACCTCTCCCTGCTGCAACAGTGAATAAAACCTGCCAGGTCACGTTAACTAGTGTCAGGCTTTCTCTTTGCCCGTGGTCACACTTTGAGAGGAGAGCCCTTGGCATTCGGAGGATTGAGGCTCAGGGAGAAAGCCAGCGCATCGGAAGGACCATGACCTGTTCCAGGTCCCCCAACTCATCCGTTCCCCCAGCACAGGCTGAATCCTACAGGGAATGCACTTGGGAGCCCTGAACTGAATCAGTGGATGAGGAAGCCAGCTTCCAAGATGACCCCCAAAGATGCCCTTGCCCTCCCAGAATCCACATCCTTGTGGAGCCCTCTCCCACCCTAAAAGGGTTGACCCCATGACCTGTCAGGAGTGGTGGCAATGACAAAGTGCCACTTCAGGTCAGAGCATGATAGGATTGTCAGGTCCAGTGCAGGACGCCTGGTTAAAATTGGGTTACAAACCAAAAAAAATATTTTTTAGTGTAAGTATGTCCCAAATACTGCAAGGGATATAGTTATACTCATGTAAGAAATGAGCTGGGCCCCCCAACGCAGGGGTCCTGGTAGAACACAAAACACACTCGGAGCCAAAACCGGTTTGGCTCAGTGGATAGAGCGTCGGTCTGCGGAATGAAAGGTCCCAGGTTCGATTCTGGTCAAGGGCATGTACCTGGGTTGCAGGCACATCCCCAGTAGGAGATGTGCAGGAGGCAGCTGATCGATGTTTCTCTCTCATCGATGTTGCTAACTATCTCTCTCCCTTTCTCTCTGTAAAAAATCAATAAAATATATTTAAAAAAAAAATTGTGAGCTTTTTAAAAAAACAACAAAAAACACACACACACACACACTCGGAGCCCGGCAGCAAGGCAAACATCTTTGCTTCTACATCAGTGGTTCTCAACCTTCCCAATGCCGCGACCCTTTAATACAGTTCCTCATGTTGTGGTGACCCCCAATTTCATTGTTACAAATTGAACATAGAGCATAGCGATTAATCACAAAAACAATATGTAATTATATATGTGTTTTCCGATGGTCTTAGGTGACCCCTGTGAAAGGGTCGTTTGACCTCCAAAGGGGTCGCGACCCACAGGTTGAGAACCGCTGTTCTACATAGAAGGGTGCACACATGGCCTGGCTGCTCGGCTTCACAATCCCTGACACACGT